CCTGGCCAAGGAGCTGCCGGCCGTGCCCAAGGCGGGGGGCAAGCCTTTCTGTGCGTAAGTCCCTCCTCCTCCGTGGGCGGCCCCTGCGTCCACCCAGGCCTGGCCCCCTGGGTCTCGGCGGGAGGCAAGACAGACCCTGGCAGGGCCCCTGCCCGGCCTCCCCGTGGGCACCAGCTGGAGCCCCGCCTCGAGGCCCCCGCCCGGACCTGGCTGGCCGTCCCAGCGTCTGGCCGCTGGCCCCTGGGCGCAGGAGAGGCCTCCGAGCACAAAGTCACGCCCAGAAGTTAGCGCGGAGGGCTGGGCCGGGCCCACCCGAGCCCCGACGCCCCAGGACCTTGGGTTCCACTCAGCACGTCGGTCTCACGAGCCCCCCACGTCCACACCATCGCGCACTCTTGACTCGATGAAGTTTTGGGTTTTTTAATTGTATGTTCACACTGGTAACTGCCTGCTCCTGGGCTGATATAATAAACCGAGTGATGACGTTTGCATTGCAGAACGCACAGCCACAGCCGCTCCGGGGCTCCGGGGCTCCCCAAGGGAGCAAGGCCCGGGCAGCGGGATCGGGCGCCCAGGCAATCCGGAGTCAGGGCCCAGCCCCGCGCAGAGAGCCCGTGGTGGGGCCAGTGCAGGGCAGCAGGAGGCCCAGGAAGTGTCCCCGCAGGCTCGGGACTTTTCTGGATTTGCAGACTGCCAGTGGGGGAGGGGAGCCTCCGGCTGCGGCCCCTCTGCCCCCTGGCCCTAGCCACCGCCCCCTGGCCCTGGCCCTAGCCACCGCTGGCTGTGGCCACTGCAGCCGGAGAGGGAGCTCAGGCTGGCGGGGCAGGGAGGAGGGAAAGGCCTGGAGGGGCAGGGGTGGGCGCAGACCCGAGTCCCCGCAGAGGCCAGGGCCAGTCCCTGGTCGGAAAGAAAATCACGGGCTGCACCCCAGGCCTTGGGGAGTCCCAGTGCGCCCACCCGCAGGAGGGCCCCACAGCCGACTGGTGCCCCTGGCCGGCGAGTCATCGGGCGCTGGGTCTGGTGCGGGTCCGGCCCGGAAGCCGCGGCCAGGGGCGCGGCCGCCCGTGTGGGAGGCGGCAGAGGGAGGCGGGAGATGTCGGCTGGGAACCGGA